TTACTAGACGACTAGATGACTCCACGCGGTTAAATATTTTTTAGAAATCAAATAAATTAGAAAAATATTATTTCATGATCGAAAATTGCTAATGATGTTCAATTTGGATTTCGGTTCAATTTTTCTTTTCCTGTGTTTGTTGGCTCTAATTCTAATTTCATTAATAACATTGAAAATAAGTTCATTTACAAATTTTTTTTTTTGTCAACATTCTTTTACAATTCAATTAACAAAAACAATTAATTGGTCTTTAGATCAAATTTTATGTTGTAATAAGCAAGAAAGATTTTGTTTTTTCAAAAAATATTTTTCATTTCTATTGATATTGTAGTGTCGACTTTGCCGTTAACATTACACCAAACTACTAATCCTATGTGTGTGAATTCTTTTATAGATTGAAAATTTGACAAAACAAAACATATTGTGATCAATAGTGTTATTATCCATGGTTAAACTCGTGTGGATTACTTTTTATTTGTGAATAACAATATCTAAAATGAAAATATCTACTACACAAAATATTGTACGGTTTGATTTTGGTTTGTGTTTGCATTTTAATCAAAATATCATTTATTCGAATAGGTCTTAGATCAATATTTTTTTCAAATTGTCTTGCGTTAAAAAAATCATGTTAAATTTAGCTTGTTCAAATATCTTAAATAGAATTTAGAATACAAATAAATTATTTAATATTTAAAACATTAAAATATATAATCATAAATTTTATTAATGAAACACGGATAAAAAAAAATTATTGCTTTCGAATTAGAAAATATTTTTATTTCTTTCAAATTGTCTTGCGTTAAAAAAAAATTATAAAAGAATAATTATATTTGTTGTTATAAACTTGAGAAGTTTTTTTTCACAAACATATCAAAATCTCTAATAAAAATTTGGTACACCTTTATTATTAATTTCAAAAAGAATACATATTCTATGAAAATGTTCTATAATTTTATTATTACAATAATCAATTTCAAAACTGTTTTTAAATGAGCAATGAAAATTTATATATAATTTTAGAATAAAACGAAAATCTGATAAAATATTGATTAAAAACTCTTTTGATTTATTTATGGAAACAAATATAAATTTAGTTGTAGAAGATTTTGTTATTGATTCAAAATTGCAATGTCACATTTTTTTCAAGCATGTCACAATTGTTTTGGTGAGAATGATTGTGAAGATGACACATAAGCATGTTCTCACAAATTACTCCCAAATAATATATAAGAGATTGACTCGGGTAAGCTTGACTTGTTAAGGCAATGTGACAACTTATCAATAAGTGTCACCGTACATGGTAATAATGCCATGGTACCTAGTGTTTAGGAAGCACAAATAGAAAAATGACATCATCCATGAAGTTTTTCGATTGTATATCTTCTAAACAACTGTGATTCGATCCAATAAATAACAAAAAGAAAAAGTAGCGTTGATGTTATGGAAAACTGAGGTCCACGCTTAGAACATTTTCAGTGGAGAGTCTTAATTTCTCATGTTGGACCATTCTTATTTATATATGTGGTGAGCGGTTTCAGGGGCATTAGCTGTGTCAGATAGGCTACAATACAGAGATTTGAATGTAAATAACGTCTACAAGATGTGTCAACAGAAATCGGAAAACAATATGCCATGTTTTGTTTCATTGTTCGGCTGCGCATATATTAATGGAGATAGCTTACATCACGACGCCAATCAATGGTTTTGGGAATTCGGTTGAACAGAACTTATCTTATTTCCTGGATTTAGCCGAAAATGCAAGCATC